AGATAAACAATATATGGACAAAAAGGCAGATACTTTGTATGGGGACACAAAGATAAACAATATATGGACAAAAAGACAGATACTTTGTATGGGGACACAAAGATAAACACTATATGGACAGAGAAAGACACTTTGTATGGGGACACAGAGATAGACAATATATGGACAGAGAAAGACGCTTTGTATGGGACACAGAGATAAACACTATATGGACAGAGAAAGACACTTTGTATGGGGACACAGATAAACACTATATGGACAGAGAAAGGGACGTTGTATGGTGAAACAAAGATAAACACTATGGACAGAGAAAGACACTTTGTTTATGGACACAAAGATACACACTATATGGACAGAGAGAGACACTTTTTATGGGGACAGAGAGATAAACACTATATGGACAGAGAGAGACAATTTGTATAGGGACACAGAGATAAACACTTTATGGACAGAGAAAGACAATTTGTATGGGGACACAGAGATAAACACTATATGAACACAGAGAAAGACACTTTGCATAGGGACAAAAAAGATAAACATTATATGGACACAGACATAGAGCTACAACTGTAGATGCATTTACATAGACATAATTTTACATATTGTCACAGGTAAATGCCTAATGCTGACAAAGAGATAGACATTGAAATAAAACATGTTATATGTAGATACAGTGATAAACACTGTAAGAGAGTATAGAGATAAACACTTTAAATGAGAATCTAGAGATAAATACTCTATATGAGAGTACATAATAAACACTTAATTTGGGAGTATGAGATAAACACTTTATATGAGGTAGATATTTAGACATTTTCAATGTGGAAAATGAGATGTGGGAAAAAAAACTGTATATGTGCACACACATAGATTGACACCTAACAAAACAAACAGTGTTTACACATAGGATTGACACCAAACAAAACAAACAGTGTGTACACACATAGATTGACACCAAACAAAACAAACAGTGATGTACCTTTTCACTGTCAGCATCATCATCACCCATCTTCCCATTCTGCTCCATCATTTTCTGCTTCTCCAGCATCATCTCCTTTTCCCTTGTCTCCTCTTCCAGTGCTGTCGGTTTCTCTATCATTTTCTGTTTCTCCATCAACATCTGTTTCTCCATGTCCATATTTTTTTTTGACATTTCTTGTTTGTTCATCATCTCTTGTTTGTTCATCATTTCTTGTTTATTCATCATCTCTTGTTTATTCATCATCTCTTGTTTGTTCATCATCTCTTGTTTGTTCATCATCTCTTGTTTGTTTATCATCTCTTGTTTGTTAAACATCTCTTGTTTGTTCATCATCTCTTGTTTGTTCAACATTTCTTGTTTATTCATCATCTCTTGTTTGTTCATCATCTCTTGTTTGTTCATCATCTCTTCTTTGTTCATCATCTCTTGTTTGTTCATCATCTGCTCCTTGCGGAACATTTCGGCTGTAAAATGTGTAATTGGGAATTAATTTTTAATTGTAATTGTTTGGGTTAATTAACTGTATTGTATGACTAAAAAAAAAAAAAAGTTGAATGACTATTGTGTGACTGAGTTGATTGTATGACCAAACTAACTGTATGACTGAACTACTTGTATGACTGAACTGATTGAAAACTGAACTAACTGTATGACTGAACTAACTGTATGACTGAACTGACTGTATGACTGAACTAATTGTTTGACTGAACAAATTGCTTGACTGAACTAACTGCATGGCTGAACTAATTGTTTGACTGAACTAACTGCATGGCTGAACTAATTGTTTGACTGAACTAATTGTTTGACTGAACTAACTGCATGACTGGACTAACTGTATGACTGAACTAACTGTATGACTGAACTAACTGAATGACTGAACTAATTGTATGATTAAACTGATTGTATGACAGAACTAACTGTTTGAATAAATGAATTGTATGACTGAACTGATTGAATAACTGAACTAACTGTATGACTGAACTAACTGTATGACTGAATTAACTGTATGACTGAACTGACGGCATGACTGAACTAATTGTTTGACTGAACTAACTGCATGGCTGAACTAATTGTTTGACTGAACTAACTGCATGGCTGAACTAATTGTTTGACTGAACTAACTGCATGACTGAACTAACTGTATGACTGAACTAACTGTATGACTGAACTAACTGTATGATTAAACTGATTGTATGACTGGACTAACTATTTGAATGAACGAATTTATTGACTGAACGAATTGTATGACTGAGAAAATTGTATGACTGAATGAACTGTATGACTGAACTTACTGTATGACTGAACTAACTGTTTGACTTAACTAATTGACTGACCTAACTGTATGACTGAACTAATTGCATGACTGAACTAACTGGATCACTAAACTAACTGTATGACTGAATAACTGTATAACTGAACTAACTGTATGACTGAACTAACTGTATGACTGAACTAACTGTAAGACTGAACTAACTGTATGACTGAACTAACTGAATGACTGAACTAACTGTATGCCTGAACTAACTATTTGACTGAACTAATTGGATGACTAATTAGATGACTGAACTAACTGTATGCCTGCACTAACTGTATCACTGAACTAATTGTATGACTAAACTACTGCTTGACTGAACTAACTTAAGACTAAACTAATTGCATAACTGCACTAATTGTATGGCTGAACTAATTGTATGACTGAACTGACTGTATGACTTTACTAACTGTAAGTATGACTTAACAGATTGTATGACTGAATGTATTATATGACTGAACTAATTCAATCAATAAATTAGTCATGTGACGTCTCCATTGCCGAGGTTGGCTTTAATGGATTTGGAATCAACTCTCTCTCTCTTGTTCTGGTTGTACACTCCCTCAGACTGCTGTTTGTCCATCTCTTGATGCTGTACTCCCACTTGTATCGATACCTACCTCTTGCTGTCATGTTCTTGCCCCACCCCACATATGGTTTTTAGCAACATCTCATGTATTTTAATATGGCAAGAGAATGTCAATTGTCTTTCAATTTCTTTCAGTATTTCTTAGTCTTTCCAGAACCTCTGTGCTGGTCTCTTCTATCATCCCCTTGCCTTGGATCCAGGAACCTAGAAGATCTACAGTGGCAACCAAGAGTGGTCTACAAACCTAGAAGATCTACAGTGGCAACCAAGCGTGGTCTACAAACCTAGAAGATCTACAGTGGCAACCAAAAGTGGTCTACAAACGTAGAAGATCTACAGTGGCAACCCAAGAGTGGTCTACAAACGTAGAAGATCTACAGTGGCAACCCAAGAGTGGTCTACAAACCTAGAAGATCTACAGTGACAACCCAAGAGTGGTCTACAAACCTAGAAGATCTACAGTAGCAACCCAAGAGTGGTCTACAAACCTAGAAGATCTACAGTGGCAACCCAAGAGTGATCTACAAACCTAGAAGATCTACAGTGGCAACCCAAGAGTGGTCTACAAACCTAGAAGATCTATAGTGGCAACCCAAGAGTGGTCTACAAACCTAGAAGATCTACAGTGGCAACCCAAGAGTGGTCTACAAACCTAGAAGATCTACAGTGGCAACCCAAGAGTGGTCTACAAACCTAGAAGATCTACAGTAGCAACCCAAGAGTGGTCTACAAACCTAGAAGATCTACAGTGGCAACCCAAGAGTGGTCTACAAACCTAGAAGATCCACAGTGGCAACCCAAGAGTGGTCTACAAACCTAGAAGATCTACAGTGGCAACCCAAGAGTGGTCTACAAACCTAGAAGATCTACAGTGGCAACCCAAGAGTGGTATACAAACCTAGAAGATCCACAGTGGCAACCCAAGAGTGGTCACATCTCCCACTGGTCTACAAACCTAGAAGATCCACAGTGGCAACCCAAGAGTGGTCTACAAACCTAGAAGATCTACAGTGGCAACCCAAGAGTGGTCTACAAACACAGCAATAACCTTGAACATTACTCGTCAGAAACAGACTACAGTGATCCATACTGCACTACCAAATGCTCCTAGAAACAGACTACAGTGATCCATACTGCACTACCAAATGCTCCCAGAAGTAGACTACAGTGATCCATACTGCACTACCAAATGCTCCCAGAAGTAGACTACAGTGATCCATACTGCACTACCAAATGCTCCCAGATGCAAGTCACGTCCCCCCCCCCCTTCCCCCTTTTTCCACCCCAACCCGCTTTTTCCCCAACACCCTCCTCCCGATCATCTGAAAATAATGCAACAAGAGGAACAGGCAGGACGTTAACAGATAACCTCTTGCAACGTTTGATAGACATTCATGGACAATGTTGCCCACACAAACAGTCTGTCAATGTGCATAGTTCTGACAACCAGGGTTAAGTTATAGCTCTGTTGCTAGCAGGAAATATTGCTCCAGAAAAACATCAGTTGCCAAAGCTGATCAACTGGCAGGAGAAGGTGTGACAAAAGTGCAGCCGGATGTACCAGTCACATACCACCAAAAGAAAAAGATTAATAAATTAATCAGGAAACCACCAGCCCCAGCACAAGATGACTATTTTATTTTGGACAGATCAGAACAAGTCATTATCCTCCGCCTCAGAACAGGGCACAACCGATTACGTAACCACATGTACACACAATTCAAGATAGGCGTATCAGCCATGTGCACCTATGGAAAGGTGCCCCAGACAGCAGAGCATGTACTCCAGGACTGCACCGAATTTGACAGAATAAGGCAAACCTTTTGGCCAGAAAGAACAACATTGGAAAGTAAACTCTATGGACCACTGAATGAATTAACAACAACAGTAAAATTTATACAAGAGACAAAATTGCTGATATAGACAACTTATTTCAGGCGAACGAAAGAAGAAGAAAAAGATTGGTTGCCACATATATAATATACTTGGACACTCTTCTTGAACACTAGCCTGATACTGTGAGTTTGGTTACTGCTTATGGGGCTGCATTGTCCAGATTTTATTGGTGTCTCTGACATGAACGAACATTGCTGGCAATTGAAGAGAGTAGAACTGAACTACTCACCCATATGTTCAGCACACAAGTTGACACACTCCTCTTCTGTGTTAAATTTGTTGTCGTTACCCCTGCAGCCTCCGTAGGCAAAAACCTGGCATTTCTGTACATTGCTGTTGTAAAACCATCTGGGAAAATCTCCCCGACAAGGCCCCACATCTGCGGTCAGCTGACATATTGCTATAAAGATGGAACCATAAATGCAAATGTTTATATTAGGGCTGTACCGAATAGTGATTTTCACTATTCGGCCAAATACGAATAGTGGGACCAACTATTCGGCCGAATACGAATATGAATACGAATAGTGTATCATCATCATCAGGTGTCTTGCCCACTGACGTGGGCGATAATCCCTCGCCACAATCTGCGATCTCCTGCAGCATGTATTAGTTCGTGTACCGACCCACCTCCATGCCATGCAACAAGACAGTCAAGAATCATCTTTCGTTGTCTTCCTCTATCCCTCCTTCCTCAGATCTTTCCAGTGGTCACCACATGTTCCATTTTCCATCTTCTCATAACATGGCCGAAAAATGATGACTGTTTTCTTTTGATGTCTGTGATTAGTTGTCTTTGGGCTCCCGCCTCTTTCAAAACCTCTTGGTTGCTTTTTTTTTTCTTTGTGTGTGTGTGTGGCTGTTCAGGGTATTTTAAGCATTGTTCTGTAAAACTACATCTCTGAGGCCTCAAGAAATTGTTTAGCCTGCCTTCCGTTTGTCCAGGACACACAACCATATGTTAAAACTGGATGTATGTAGCAAGCAACAATTCTTCTTCTAACCTTCAATGACAAAGATATATTGCATAAGATGGTCTTCATTTTATAAAATGCAGTTATTGCCTGTCGCCTGTCCTCTTTTCGACAGTTGCGATGAAAGACAATTTAAATTTTAGCTTTTAAGTATCTTTATGCCTTCTTTAATAATGTCACAATTTATAGCCAACTTTTCTTGATTTTCGCCGCGGCACCCCTGGCAAACGCACCCAGTTTGAGAACCTCTGCTGTAATGCCTCGGTCGAGTCAGCAGGCAAAGACCTTGCCAGCTGCTGTACCACACAACCGACTTAGGCAACAGCAACTTTTATGTTAATGAGAGAGTTATTTCAGTCCATCGCAGTGTATGCAGGAACAAGTGTAAGGTAACCACTATTCATATTCGGCCCAAACACACCTATTCGGCCGAAGACCGAATAGTTTTTTGGTCCCCTATTCAGCCCATAAAGCGAATACGAAGCGAATATTCGGTACAGTCCTAGTTTATACACTGTATCACAGATTGCTGACATATATCTATAGAGATGAAAGGATAAATGCAAATGTTTATATACTGTATCACAGATTGCTGACATATATCTATAGAGATGAAAGGATAAATGCAAATGTTTATATACTGTATCAAAGATTGCTGACATATATCTATAGAGATGAAAGTATAAATGCAAATGTTTATATACTGTATCACAGATTGCTGACATATATCTATAGAGATGAAAGGATAAATGCAAATGTTTATATACTGTATCACAGATTGCTGACATATATCTATAGAGATGAAAGGATAAATGCAAATGTTTATATACTGTATCACAGATTGCTGACATATATCTATAGAGATGAAAGTATAAATGCAAATGTTTATATACTGTATCACAGATTGCTGACATATATCTATAGAGATGAAAGTATAAATGCAAATGTTTATATACTGTATCACAGATTGCTGACATATATCTATAGAGATGAAAGGATAAATGCAAATGTTTATATACTGTATCACAGATTGCTGACATATATCTATAGAGATGAAAGGATAAATGCAAATGTTTATATACTGTATCACAGATTGCTGACATATATCTATAGAGATGAAAGTATAAATGCAAATGTTTATATACTGTATCACAGATTGCTGACATATATCTATAGAGATGAAAGGTTAAATGCAAACGTTTATATACTGTATCACAGACTGCTGACATGTTGTTACAATTGTGAAATGCAAGCATGTGAAGACGAACACTAAAAGAACACTGTTTAACACAATATTCTTACCAACGCTCTGCTGTCGATGTCAAACATGGACACTGTCTTCAGAAGACAGAAGGAAAATAGTCATGTCAGAAATCAAATGTTTACGAGCTATGCTAGGTGTAACGAGGAAAGATCGACCTAGCAACGATGATATCAGTAGGAGAATCGGTGCAGAACCAATACTGAACTTTATAGGTAGACAAAAAATCAAATGGTCTGGCCATGTAAAAATATTGGCAGCAGAAAGTGCCCCACAGAGGGCAATGTTAAACAGATACAGTGGTAACAAACCTAGAGGTCGACAACGCAGAAGATGGACAGCACAAATATCAGAGACACAGAAAAGTACTTATACAAAGCAAACAGAAGAGCCCATCCCAGAGATCTCTTTCTGTCCTGTCTCCACGAGGCATTCCAGGAGTAGAGAAAAGAAGAAGGAAAAGTACAGTGAATGATAATTTCCAAGACTTTACTGTGTATTGTAGAAAATTTCCATGATTCTTCTCTGTACTTTATAGTGTATTCCCTATTGTACTGTGTAGGATACTGTGTAGTGTATTGTCTACATAGAACATCTCCACGACTGTACAATGTACTGTAGAGTATTTCCATGTTTACATTGAGTACTCTAGAACATTTCCATGGTTACATTGAGTACTGTAGACTGCCTTCAAGTGACTATTGGCTCAGTGTTCATATGCCTTCATTTCTTGTAAATTCAGATGTTTATCATCTCTACATCCCTCTCCCTCTCCCCACCCCCATCCCCTGCATCCCAGCTTGGCTGCTGTACCATCATAGATCCCAAACTGTACCATCACAACCCCCTCGATATACTACTAAAGCTCCCTAGGGGTTAATTTGCATCTCCCCTGTTGTACCACCATAGCTATCCAGTTGTACCACCATAGCTCCCCAGTTGTACCACCACAGCTCCCCAGTTGTACCACCAAAATTCCCCAGTTGTACCACAAAAGCTCCCCAGTGGTAAAACTGCATCTACCCTGTTGTACCACCATAGCTCTCTAGTTGTACCACTACAACTCCCCAGTTGTAAACCAAAGCTCCCTAGCAGTAAAACTGCAACTCCCCAGTTGTACCACAATAGCTCCTCAGTTGTACCACCACAACTCCCTAACTGTACCATCACCACAACTCCCTAATTGTACTGTCACCACAACTTCCTAACTGTACCATCACCACAACTCCCTAACTGTACTGTCACCACAACTCCCTAACTGTGCCATCACCACAGCTACCTAACTGTACCATCACAATAACCCCCTAACTGTACCATCACTACAACCTCCTAACTATTCCATCACCACTACTCCCTAACTGTACCATCACCACAACTCCCGAACTGTACCACCACCACAACTCCCCAACTGTACCACCATACATCCCTAACTGTACCACCACAGCTCCCCAACTGTACCACTACCACAGCTCCCTAACTGTACCACCACGACAGCTCCCCAACTGTACCCCACAGCTCCCTAACTGTACAACCACCACAGCTCCCTAACTGTACCACCACAGCTCCCCAACTGTACCACCACGACAGCTCTCCAACTGTACCACCACAGCTCCCTAACTGTACCACCACCACAGCTCCCTAACTGCACCACCACAGCTCCCCAACTGTACCACCACCACAGCTCCCTAACTGTACCACCATACATCCCTTACTGTACCACCACAGCTCCCTAATGGTACCACCACCACAGCTCCCTGATGGTACCACCACCACAGCTCCCTGACGGTACCACCACCACAGCTCCCTGACGGTACCACCACCACAGCTCCCTGACGGCACCACCACAAAAGCTCCCTAACTCTACCACCACCACAGCTCCCTAACTCTACCACCACCACACCTACCCAACTGTACCACCACCACACCTCCCCAACTGTACCACCACCACACCTCCCTAACTGTACCACCACCACAACTACCTAACTGTACCACCACAACTACCTAACTGTACCACCACCACAACTACCTAACTGTACCACCACCACACCTCCCTAACTGTACCACTACCACAGCTCCCTAACTGTACCACCACCACAGCTCCCTAACTGTACCACCACCACAGCTCCCTAACTGTACCACCACCACAGCTCCCTAACTGTACCACCACAGCTCCCCAACTGTACCACCACCACCACAGCTCCCTAACTGTAGCACCACAGCTCCCCAACTGTACAACCACCACAGCTCCCTAACTGTACCACCACGACAGCTCCCCAACTGTACCACCACAGCTCCGTAACTGTACCACCACCACAGCTCCCTAACTGTACCACCACAGCTCCCCAACTGTACCACCACGACAGCTCTCCAACTGTACCACCACAGCTCCCTAACTGTACCACCACCACAACTCCCTAACTGCACCACCACAGCTCCCCAACTGTACCACCACCACAGCTCCCTAACTGTACCACCACGACAGCTCCCTAACTGTACCACTATACATCCCTTACTGTACCACCACAGCTCCCTAACAGTACCACCACCACAGCTCCCTAACTGTACCACCACCACACCTGCCTAACTGTACCACCACCACAACTACCTAACTGTACCACCACCACACCTCCCTAACTCTACCACCACCACACCTCCCCAACTTTACAACTACCACACCTACCTAACTCTACCACCACCACACCTCCCCAACTTTACCACCACCACACCTCCCTAACTCTAACACCACCACACCTCCCTAACTGTACCACCACCACAACTACTCAACTGTACCATCACACCTCCCCAACTTTACCACCACCACAGCTAACTAGCAGTACTAACTACCTATTATGAGTTTTAGTACCAATAAAAAAAATGCTGACACTGTACAGGTTTCTTCAACAACTTACCAGTAAAGTTTTTCATCATCATGGCTTTCTGGCAGTCGAAGATCTCCCCTCGACACAAATCTTTCTCCATCAGGTGCATGCCACAATTCTTTCGTTTCTCAGTGCCATGGAGAAACATTCGCCATCTTTCCTGGCGAGTCAAAGTTCAAACAATGGTTCCATGTGAGGGCACACAAAATGTTTCACTTCAACTAGCAAATGTAAGGGTATTTTTTAAATTTTTATTTAAAAAAAAAAGATTTAAGTTTCCAGAAACCATGAACTGTAAACTCTTTGGCTCGGTACTCGGCCTTGATACATGATAGATACCGTAAATCGGGGAGAAATGTGGCTTCCCTGCCTACCCCCGAGCGTGAACCAGGACCACCAGGATTTCGTCACCCGGTGGCCGCACAAAGGGTTTTAACCAACTATGCTAGCAAGCCGGGCATTGTGAGTGTATAAATAATTGTTTTTCTTCTTCTTCTTCTGCGTTCGACATCAGTCATGCTACACATTGAGTCCCGTCTGGGTCAAAAATAGGATTATGCGTTTAAGGTCGCCACCGGTCCCCCATAGCTTCTCTCGCTATGTGGATCCCCTGTGCCAGATCCACAGTCGATAAATAATTGTTGAACTTGAGGATATAAACAGTGGTTCCCCTGAGGATGCAAACAATGGCTCAATTTGTTTTATTTGAGGATTTACAAAATGATTCAACCTTAGGATCAAATAAACTGCACAAAACATGGATGGATACCACGCCACCTTCTGACGACATCAAATCCCAGGAGATCAAATATTTCCCCACAAGGACAGAGGTAAGATCATAAGAGGTTCAGTACTTGTTCATCTTCAAAATTCTTAGTTCTTACACAGAGGTATTCATGTTTGAAATGCTTAGTTCTTACACAGAGGTGTTCATCTTCAAAATTCTTAGTTCTTACACAGAGGTGTTCATCTTTAAAATTCTTAGTTCTTACACAGAGGTGTTCATCTTCAAAATTCTTAGTTCTTACACAGAGGTGTTTATCTTCAAAATTCTTAGTTCTTACACAGAGGTGTTCATCTTAAAAATTCTTAGTTCTTAAACAGAGGTGTTCATCTTCAAAATTCTTAGTTCTTACACAGAGGTGTTCATGCTTGAAATTCTTAGTTCTTACACAGAGGTGTTCATGTTTGAAATGCTTGATTCTTACACAGAGGTTTCTTTTGACTTAGTTCAGAGGTGTTCATCTTCAAAATGCTTAGTTCTTACACAGATTCTTCTTTCAAATTCACAGAGGTGTTCATCTTCAAAATGCTTGGTTCTTACACAGAGGTGTTCATCTTCAAAATGCTTGATTCTTACACAGAGGTGTTCATGTTTGAAATTCTTGAAGAAACAGAATCAATAAAACAGACCAGCGTTCTTCAACACACTCAGGGCTGCGGCTGTAAAAAGGTTGAGCAACAATGGAGTGGACCATTTGTTACTGAGACTTGACTTTTACTGAGACTTGACTTTTACAGAGAGTTGAGTTTAACTGAGACTTGACTTTTACTGAGACTTCACTTTTACTGAGACTTCACTGTAACTGAGACTTGGCTTTTACTGAGACTTGTTTTTTACTGAGACTTGACTTTTACTGAGACTTGACTTTTACTGAGACTTCACTGAGACTTTTTTTACTGAGACTTGGCTTTTACTGAGACTAAGACTGAGACTTGGCTTTTACTGAGACTTGGCTTTTACTGAGACTTGGCTTTTACTGAGACTTCATTTTTACTGAGACTTGGCTTTTACTGAGACTTCATTTTTACTGAGACTTCATTTTTACTGAGACTTGACTTTTACTGAGACTTGGCTTTTACTGAGACTTGACTTTTACTGAGACTTCATTTTTACTGAGACTTGACTTTTACTGAGACTTGACTTTTACTGAGACTTGGCTTTTACTGAGACTTGACTTTTACTGAGACTTGGCTTTTACTGAGACTTCATTTTTACTGAGACTTGACTTTTACTGAGACTTGACTTTTACTGAGACTTCACTTTTACTAAGACTTGACTTTTACTGAGACTTCACCTTTCCTGAGACTTCATTTTTACTGAGACTTGACTTTTACTGAGACTTGACTTTTACTGAGACTTCACCTTTCCTGAGACTTCATTTTTACTGAGACTTGACTTTTACTGAGACTTGACTTTTACTGAGACTTGACTTTTACTGAGATTAAACTTGATTTAACTAAACCAACCATATTATTGTATACTACTTTTTTAAACTTATACCAACAGTGTTGTATTGTAGCCAGTTACCTTCATTCCCAGCCCACAGGTGGCGCTGCAAGGTGACCAGTCGGACCAGCCAGTGACCGCACACATGTCAGTGGGATCTCTCTGCTCGTCATGGCGCATCACGAAATTATCCCTGAGCTTTTTCCGGCGTGTGTCTGCAGCATGAGAGTCAAACATGGGATCATGAGAGTCAAACATGGGATCATGAGAGGTCAACTTGGGATCATGAGAGTCAACTTGGGATCATGTGAATCAAACATGGGATCATGAGAGTCAAACATGAGATCATGAGAGTCAACTTGGGATCATGAGAGTCAAACATGGGATCATGATAGTCAAACATGGGATCATGAGAGTCAACTTGGGATCATTGTCCACATTTGTAAAGTAACTTTTTCAATCTATTCACAAACACACTAGTTAGTGTTCATGCAAGTTTATAGTCCACACTCACACACACACACCCACACACACACACACACACACACACATAAAACACACGCACAATACACACATATATCCACAAACACTAGTGTAAATTCCCATTTACAGTCCAATTGTAAACCCAACACTCCTCATACAATTGTTGAAAATTGAGCATATACCCCCACACAATTATTGTAACTGAACATATGTTCTCCACACAATTATTGTAACTGAACATATGCACTCCACACAATTATTGTAACTGAACATATGCACTCCACACAATTATTATAACTGAACATATGCTCTCCACACAATTATTGTAACTGAACATATGCCCTCCACACAATTATTGTAACTGAACATATGCTTTCCACACAATTATTTTAGGAAGAACTGACCCCTGCAGTCTCCTGTGCACGACTGGCTTTCGTCGAGCTGCTCGTCACACATGTCAGCCGTGACGCTCGGGTTCTTCAGCATGCGTCGTCTCTCTTTGGTTCCATCCCCACATGGATTCGAACACTCGGACCAGTCTCCCCACTCGCTCATGGCACACTTCTCCATCTCTGTGATATCAAATGTGCTTATTTCAGAAGTATATTAATGTATATGCTTAAAATAACATAAATATAGTTATGTTCTACATTCCCCCCCCCCCCCTCCCCAACTTCTTTTCTTTTTCTGTACATCTCAGAATTACCCGCATGACTTCACTCTGTATGTGTACAAGTTTATTCAGCTGACTCTTTGATTTGGTAAGCATTCCATATACACTTGCACTGCCTACTGCAGTTAAGCTCAAAGTTCTGCAAGCAAAGTCATTTTTCAGAGTAGCTGCAGACAAGAAGGGCTTATATGGAACAAGCGGAAGACACACTTAGACATGTGTGCTAGCCTGATATATCTGGGCGAAAAGAGGAATGGGTCAAGGTGTCCCATCATGACTAACATTTGTGTAAGGATTCTAATCACTTTAGGTCATGAGTACAGGGACTGGCCAGCTGGTGCTGAGGAAACAGAAGGTAACAAATGATTCATGATGAAAATCCTCCCCCCCCCCTCCCCCCCCCTCCCACCCCCAAGTGATGGGATTATCTATACAGAAGGCTAAGTACATGGGTGTCATAGCGAAAGCGAATGGACGCCGCTTAGTGCGACAAAGGCTGACATATGATATCACAACGTCTAGTTGGCTTGAGAATCAGCTGTACACACATGTCGTCATTGTAACTGACTCAGAGAGCATGTTGAGAAAGGTGGAGACAGGCATGCTCCGTGCATAGTGGCAAGCATCACTTCAGAGGTCCCGGGTGATTAGCGTCCTTTGGATATTCTCTTCAGGTCATGCCGATGGTTTTGGAAACGAACAAACGGATATCCTGAAAAGTTTTGTACCACTTGGTGGTGAACTGATGTCTGACAAGCTAGATGTTGTGAGGGCCTTTTGGTAGCAAGTGAACAGTGAGGAGACATATACATGTCTGAGGGAGAATGGCGTGCAGAGTGGCTGATGCTCATCTAAAGAGAATGGCGTTCGAGATGTCCAGGGGGTTTGACTGATGCTCAACACTAAAGAGAATGGCGTTGCGAGGAAGCACCAGGGGGTTTGACTGATGCTCAACACTGAGGAGAATGGCGTTGCGAGGAAGCACCAGGGGGTTTGACTGATGCTCAACACTAAAGAGAATGGCGTTGCGAGGAACCACCAGGGGGTTTGACTGATGCTCAACACTGAGGAGAATGTCTTGCGAGGACCACCAGCTTTGACTGATGCTCAACACTAAAGAGAATGGCGTTTTAGGAACACCAGGGGGTTTGACTGATGCTCAACACTAAAGAGAATGGCGTTGCGAGGAACCACCAGGGGGTTTGACTGATGCTCAACACTGAAGAGAAAGGCGTTGCGAGGAACCACCAGGGGGTTTGACTGATGCTCAACACTAAAGAGAAAGAGAGACGGATATATAATCAGACAAGTATTGGTGCCATCGGAATGGAACTCTTTGCTTCCTGCTGAAGATGGTGGACAGAGCGCTTATGTACAATTCATGATTACTGATTTGAGAATCAACATCATTGACCTCGGGCATACACATAGATGCTCCATTCCCCACAGCAAATCTTTGAAAGATCTTTTCCAGCTGGATCCACACTTTATTCCATCTAACACAGGGGGAGACAATCAAGTGTATCAGGAAGAGACAGTCTGAAGTGTGCAGACTGTGTTTATATGGTCATCATCATCATCACCTATCATCATCATCATCATCATCATCAAGTTAGGAAGTGCAAAAATACACTGAAGGTATTATCTGATCATGTCATTACATTGTCTGTCATTCTCACTTAATCTAGTCATTACACTGTCTTACATTCTCATCTGATCCTTACACTGTCTTAAATTCTCATCTGATCAAGTTATCAAACGGATTCAAGTCATTGCTCATCAAACAAGCCATTCTCAACTGATCAAGTCATTACACTGACTTACATTCTCATCTGATCAAGTCATTACACTGTCTTACATTCTCATCTGATCAAGTCATTACACTGACTTACATTCTCATCTGATCAATACACTGTCTTACATTCTCATCTGATCAAGTCATTACACTGTCTTACATCCTCATCTGATCATTACACTGTCTTACATTCTCATCTGATAATTACACTGTCTTACATTCTTATCTGATCATTACACTGTCTTACATTCTCATCTGATCATTACACTGTCTTACATTCTCATCTGATCAATACACTGTCTTACATTCTCATCTGATCATTACACTGTCTTACATTCTCATCTGATCAAGTCATTACACTGTCTTACATTCTCATCTGATCAATACACAGTCTTACATTCTCATCTGATCAATACACAGTCTTACATTCTCATCTGATCAATACACCGTCATTACATCTGTCAATACATTCTCACATGATCAAGTCATTACACTGTCTTACATTCTCATCTGATCATTACACTGTCTTAAATTCTCATCTGATCCTTACACTGTCTTACATTCTCATCTACATATTCATGGCATTGTGGTGCTGGGGTGTCTGTACATTACCTCATCCCGATCAGCAGCTAGAAATGCCCTGTACCAGTTCTAAAGGAAATATGGGTTGTGTTCAATTTCCCTTTAACACGTAGCTAAGGTGGGGCTCACAGTGTGCTCATTCCCCGATCAATTGCCTGCAGGTTTCGCTGACTCTTCATGACTAAGCATGGCCTATCATGATAGTTGGGGCAACTGGATCGTCACGTCCTGAGTCCCTGTGCATTCACGATAGTTTCATTATTCAGGGGGGTTACATTCTCATTTCCATTCCTAAGACTGTTCAGCACACTCTGGCTTCTCCTCTGGGGGCAGTACGGTCATTGCACCGGTTTTTATCGAGGTTTGCAACTGATAAAGCTATAAACAAAGACTTGGTTGAATCTGATGGGCCATGGGAGACACTGTCTTAGAGGTTTATAGACATATGATCCCTGATCCTAACACTGCATTACCATCTAACATCTGATCCAGGCCACCATCTGACTTAGAACGCAACATACTCCACTCAATGGACACCTAAACAGAATACAGCCACACACTCCCCAGAGTGCCAGCTATGTAACTACCCCTACGAAACTGTTTAACACCATCTCTTGATGCCCAAAACTCATTGACACAAGTCTTACGCTACTCCCTCTGATCAAGTGGAACACTTGTACTTAGGAAAAGAACATCTTGTGAAAACATGCAAATTCCACTACATGTCTTGGGCCATTTTCGAAAGCTCATGCGCCGCTGGATCGATAACAACAACAACAACAACATTCTCATCTGATCATTACACTGTCTTACATTCTCATCTGATCAAGTTATTAAACTGTTTCACATTCTCATCTAAACAAGCCAATACACTGCCTTACATTCTCATCTGATCAAGTCATTACACTGTCTTACATTCTCATCTAATCAAGTCATTACACTGCCTTACATTCTCATCTGATCAAGTCATTACACTGTCTAAGATTCTCATATAATCAATTCATTACACTGTTTCACATTCTCATCTAAACAAGCCAATACACTGCCTTACATTCTCATCTGATCAAGTCATTACAATGTCTTACATTCTCATATAATCAAGTCATTACACTGCCTTACATTCTCATCTGATCAAGTCATTACACTGTCTAAGATTCTCATATAATCAATTCATTACACTGTCTTACATCCTCATCTAATCAAGTCCTTACACTGTCTTACTTCCTCCTCTAATCAAGTCATTACACTGTCTTACATCCTCATATGGTCAAGTCATTACACTGTCAACATTATCATCTGAAGTCCAGTCACCCTCAACGCCATACATCCTCAACAATCTGTCACTGGGTCCCTTACACAGGGCAAACACATCCAGTCCTGTCTCAAGTCATTACACTGTCTTACATCCTCATCTGGTCAAGTCATTACACTGTCTTACATCCTCATCTGGTCAAGTCATTACACTGTTTTACATCCTCATCTGGTCAAGTCATTACACTGTACCAGATTCTCATCTAATCAAGAACTGCCCCCCCCCCCTCCCCCCGTGCAACTGATTACCAACATATTTCATCTCAAAGATTTCTTGAGAGAGGACTACCCCATCTCTCCCCCACAAAACAGACCCCACAGTCAACAATTATTTATGAAGTCCAATCACCCTCAACGCCATACAGACAATCAACAATCCTGTCACTGGGACCCTTACACAGAGGCAAACACAACAGTCCTGTCTCTAGGAACAAGTACTAACCCCCCATATTGATTCTAGATGATCACGTGACTTACCTAATTGTTTTTTCATCATCATCTTTTTCTTCATCAAGCTGGTGAGCTCCTCTGTGCTGGGGCTGTTCTCTGCAGAGAAACATGCTGGTTAGCCATTATCAGAGAAACAGTCAGTTTTCTTTGTTAGAGAGAAACAGCCTGTCTGTTGTTAGAGAGAAACAGCAGTTTGTTGTTAGAGAGAAACAGCAGTTTGTTGTTAGAGAGAAACAGCAGTTTGTTGTTAGAGAGAAACAGCCTGTTTGTTGTTAGAGAGAAAGAGCAGTTTGTTGTTAGAGAGAAACAGCAGTTTGTTGTTAGAGAGAAACAGCAGTTTGTTGTTAGAGAGAAACAGCAGTTTGTTGTTAGAGCGAAAACAGCAGTTTGTTGTTAGAGAGAAACAGCAGTTTGTTGCACAAATACTCTCTACCTGTCCTAATTACTGTCTCATACTGTCACTGTCTCACTGTGTAATTGTGTGCGTGAATGTATGTGAATGTTGTTGTATCTCTTTCTCTCATTTTGTACACACATTTTGGTCTCTTGAACTGTCCTTGTCTTTCTCTTTTAATGTCTCAGTTTCTTTTTGTCTCTGCCATCATCTCTCCCTTCCTCTCTCAATGTCTTAGTTCCTTTTCATCTCTTACATCATCTCTCCATTCCTCTCTCACTGTCTCAGTTCCTTTTTGTCTCTGCCATCATCTTTCCATCCTCTCTCACTGTCTTAGTTCCTTTTTTTCTCTGCCATCATTTCCCCCTTCCTCTCTCAATGTCTCAGTTCCTTTTTGTCTCTTTCATCATCTCTCCATTCCTCTCTCAATGTCTTAGTTCCTTTTTTCTCTGCCATAATTTCCCCCTTCCTCTCTCAATGTCTCAGTTCCTTTTTGTCTCTTTCATCATCTCTCTATTCCTCTCTCACTGTATCCATTTCTTTTTGTATCTTCCATCATCTCTCCCTTCCCCTCTCACTAAGTTCCTTTTTTGTCTCTGCCATCATCTCTCCTTTCCTCTTACTGTCTTAGTTCCTTTTTGTCTCTTCAATCATCTCTACCTTCCTCTCTCAATGTCTCAATTCCTTTTTGTCTCTTCCATCATATCTTCCTTCCTCTCTCAATATCTCAATTCCTTTTTGTTGCTTCCATAATCTCTCCCTTCCTCTCCATGTCTGAATTCCTTTTTGTCTCTTTCATTATCTCTACCTTCCTCTCTCAATGTCTCAATTTTTTTTGTCTCTTCCATCATATCTTCTTTCCTGTCTCACTGTCTCAGTTCTTTTTTTTTCTCTCATAGGTTTCCCTATCACACAGCTATCAGTCACATACCTCGCTGTGTCAATTTCCTGACTGTGTCACATCCCTGCCTGTGCCATATACCTGCCTGTGTCACATACCTGGCTGTGTCACATACCTGCCTGTATCACATACCTGCCTGTGTCACATACCTGACTGTATCACATACCTGGCTGTGTCACATACATGGCTGTCAGCTGTTTATCACATACCTGACTGTCAGTTGTTTATCAAATACCTGCCTGTGTCACATACCTGGCTGTGTCACATACCTGGCTGTCAGCTGTTTATCACATACCTGGCTGTCAGCTGTTTATCACATACCTGGCTGTCAGCTGTTTATCACATATCTGGCTGTCAGTTGTTTATCACATACCTGGCTGTATCACATACCTGGCTGTGTCACATACCTGGCTGTCAGCTGTTTATTACATACCTGGCGAAAGGTTTGAGGTCTACTCCAAAGAATGGGCTCTCCACATCTTTGGGATAGGTGCTGTTTAGTCGATGAATAGTTTCTGGGGGGACTGTGGGCACCTTCCGTCCCTAGAAAATATATGGATGCATCAATATGCATTGAAGAGATATGTCACAGATTAGGGAGGGTTCATTAGTGCACAACATCAATGTTCTTTTTTTATGGATATAAAGGAGCATCACTCATTAAGGAAATAATCTAAGCACCATACATTAAGGAAATAATCTAAGCACCATACATTAAAAAAATAATCTAAGCACCACATTTAGGAAATAATCAACTCCTCATTTAGTTCCCTGGCTTACAGAACTTTTACCTCTGTCATCTGATTTTCTCTCAATATGCCCCAACCATTTCAGTCGATTAGCTCTCATGATGAAAGTGATCAATGGTGATTTAAACAGATTATGAATTTTGTTGTCGCGTCTTGCTCTCAATTCCCTGCTGTTTACATCTTTTATAGTCCAAAGATTAGTCAAAACACGCAGTGTTCAAAACACGCAGTGTTCTCAAATAGTCCAAAGATTCGTCAAAACACGCAGTACCACTTCATCTCTTCTAGCTGTGTCTCAAGTTTCAGAAATAGTCCAAAGATAAAAAAACACGACTGGTCTCAATCAGTCCAAAGATTTTGAAATACCATTTTTCTAGCTGTCTCAGGTGTTGTGAGATAGAGACTTTGACTTTAGCAGATGTTGAAGGGCACACATACTTTTTTTTTCTAAATGGTATTCTAGATTGTATTGCTTTTCTCAGCATGTTGGAACAGTTGAAGTTTGCACCTCAATTTTTATATGTTTCTGTCATTTGATTTTAGTATTATCTATGTGTATGTTACTGGAGTTTATATCCTTCCCCTGTCCTTATTATTATCATGCATTCTGTCTTATCTTAATTGACAAATAATCTCATTTTATGAGCTGCTATCCTTTAAGAGAGCCAGTGTTTTTTTTTCACATCCGGTTCATTTTCTGCAAAGATATCAATGTCATCTGCATAACCAGGTACTCTTGTATCTGCTCTTATAGCAAATTCTCCTTGCAGTCTTTATAAATGTTTTCTTTGGCCAAGCTGAAAAAGAAGTGGGAATAAAATATCACATTTCTCTAACCCAGATTTGATTTGAAATGGGTCTGACAGTTTGCCTTTATATGTTATTAAAATCCACAAAAACATTATATACATCTCTTCTATATTCCCAATGTTGCTCTGATACTTGCCGTAAAATGAATAAAGAATTTTTTTTTGGTCTGTTCTGTCGCAAACCCACTTGGTAAACAGCCACTATATTTTCAACGTATGGTTTTAGCCTGTTTTAGTGTGTACAGCAAACAGTATCTTAAAGCTTGTAGAAAATAGTGATATTCCTCTATAATCTTATCTCCTTTCTTAAAAATGGGTGTTAATAATGATTCTTTCGGCCATGACGTCATTTCTCCGTTTTCCAAACTAGTTTTAATTATTAATGTATCTTTAAATGTAATGCAAACCCCCAAGTGGATACAGGGTAATAAAGTAGATCTTTAGTGTATACATGTCAATAAAGTAGATCTCCGGTGTATACAGGGTAATGAAGTAGATCTCTGGTGTATACAGGTAATAAAGTAGATCTAGTGTATCCATGGCAATGAAGTAGATCTCTATTGTATACAGGGTAATAAAGTAGATCTCTGGTGTATACAGGGTAATAAAGTAGATCTCCGGTGTATACAGGGTAATAAAGTAGATCTCTAGTGTATACAGGGTAATAAAGTAGATCTAGTGTATACATGGTAATGAAGTAGATCTTTAGCGTATACAGTGCAATGAAGTAGATCTCTAGTGTATACAGGGTAATAAAGTAGATCTCTAGTGTATACATGGTAATAAAGTAGATCTCTAGTGTATACATGGTAATGAAGTAGATCTCTAGTGTATACAGTGCAATGAAGTAGATCTCTAGTGTATACAGGGTAATGAAGTAGATCTCTAGTGTATACATGATAATGAAGTAGATCTCTAGTGTATACATGATAATGAAGTAGATCTCTAGTGTATACATGATAATGAAGTAGATCTCTAGTGTATACAGGGTAATGAAGTAGATATCTAGTGTATACAGTGCAATGAAGTAGATCTCTAGTGTATACATGGTAATGAAGTAGATCTCTAGTGTATACAGTGCAATGAAGTAGATCTCTAGTGTATACATGGTAATGAAGTAGATCTCTAGTGTATACAGTGCAATGAAGTAGATCTCTAGTGTATACAGGGTATTAAAGTAGATCTCTAGTGTATACATGATAATGAAGTAGATCTCTAGTGTATACATGATAATGAAGTAGATCTCTAGTGTATACATGATAATGAAGTAGATCTCTAGTGTATACAGGGTAATGAAGTAGATCTCTAGTGTATACAGTGCAATGAAGTAAATCTCTAGTGTATACATGGTAATGAAGTAGATCTCTAGTGTGTACAGGGTAATGAAGTAGATCTCTAGCGTATACATGGTAATGAAGTAGATCTCTAGTGTATACAGTGCAATGAAGTAGATCTCTAGTGTATACAGGGTAATGAAGTAGATCTCTAGTCTATTCAGGGTAATGAAGTAGATCTTTAGCGTATACAGTGCAATGAAGTAGATCTCTAGTGTATACAGGGTAATGAAGTAGATCTCTAGTGTATACATGGTAATGAAGTAGATCTCTATTGTATACAGGGTAATGAAGTAGATCTCTAGTGTGTACAGTGCAATGAAGTAGATCTCTAGTGTGTAAAGGGTAATGAAGTAGATCTCTAGTGTATACAGTGCAATGAAGTAGATCTCTAGTGCATACAGGGTAATGAAGTAGATCTCTAGTGTATACATGATAATGAAGTAGATCTCTAGTGTATACAGGGTAGTAAAGTAGTTCTCTTTTGTATACATGGTAAAAAAGTAGATCTCTAGTGTATATATGTTAATGAAGTAGATCTCTAGTGTATTTAGGATAATAGGGTAATATACAGGGTAATGAAGTAGATCTCTAGTGTATACAGGGTAGTAAAGTAGTTCTCTTTTGTATACATGGTAAAAAAGTAGATCTAGTGTATACAGGGCAATGAAGTAGATCTCTAGTGTATACAGGGTAATGAAGTAGATCTCTAGTGTATACAGGGTAATAAAGTGGATCTCTAGTGTATACAGGGTAATGAAGTAGATCTCTAGTGTATACAGGGTAATGAAGTAGATCTCTAGTGTATACAGGGTAATAAAGTAGATCTCTAGTGTATACATGGTAATGAAGTAGATCTCTAGTGTGTACAGGGTAATGAAGTAGATCTCTAGTGTGTACAGGGTAATGAAGTAGATCTCTAGTGTATACATGGTAATGAAGTAGATCTCTAGTGTGTACAGGGTAATGAAGTAGATCTCTAGTGTATACATGATAATGAAGTAGATCTCTAGTGTATACATGATAATGAAGTAGATCTCTAGTGTATACAGGGTAATGAAGTAGATCTCTAGTGTATACATGATAATGAAGTAGATCTCTAGTGTATACAGGGCAATGAAGTAGATCTCTAGTGTATACAGGGTAATGAAGTAGATATCTAGTGTATTCAGGGTAATGAAGTAGATCTCTATTGTATACATGATAATGAAGTAGATCTCTAGTGTGTACAGGGTAATGAAACATTTAATGTGTAATGTTTTGCAGTAACTGACCAGATATGTCCTCCGACTGTCCGTGCCTGCATCCCAGGGATAGAGGTCAATGGAGGCACTGTCCAACCAGGTACAGTTGCTGGCACACATGCTGAGGGCACTGACACCTGTAGAATAATGGGCGCACTTTAAAGGTGATGATACAGACATCAGGGACTGACACAAGCAGAACAACAGATGCACCTTACAGTTGAACATGCATACATCAGGGCACAGAGATGGAAATTCAGCAAATAATTCAATATAATGCTCGCTCATAAGGTTTGATCAATTTCACAGAAGATTCAGTGTCAAGAGGCAAAAGAAGTGTTTGGGGTTTCTTAGCAAAAGTTAATGGTCGACGTTTGGTGCAGGAGAGTTTAGCATATACCACAACGTCCTGCTTAAGAATGGAGGTGGAGGCGGTCACTGCAGCTTTCCGCTGACTAGAGAACACGACACACACATACATCGTGATTGTAACTGACTCAGAAAGCATGCTGAGGAAGATCAGGACAGGCATGCTTAATGCAGAATGGCATGCCTCCCTGCGGAGGACACAGGTGAATTTCCATCTCTGTGGCACCTGCTGGCCAGTCTCTGCATTCCCGGCTCAGTGTGATTATGACCCTACACAAGTCTGACTGTTCAGGTGGCACTTTGACCCACTCCTCTCCTCTCCTAATTTTCTCAAGGATGCAAACCTTGTGCCACAACACTCTCCACATGGTTCTTACAGGACAGGCTCCTGTCAAATGTAATTCCCAGATACTTCAGTTTGCTCTCTGTGTAGATGTTTCTACCATCTATCGTGAGACTTGGAACATTAGCTTTAATGATTCTGTTATCTAGAGAACACCACAAAACAGGTGGAAGACAGCCATCAGATCTGTACACCACTCAGTCACTTTATCTACTGTCGTTTGTAACTCCCGGGCTGTTTGTTATCTCTGTTCCCACTGCCTATATGCAAGTATATCATCAGCAAAAGTCAGTATCCTTCCAACTCCTGGTGCTTCAAGGCTTGCAATCTTGCTCGTATACACTTTAAAGAGCACAGGCAAGATGGTGGATCCCTGTGACAGTCCTGGGGCCAAACTGCATGGTTCTGAGGTCCATGAGCCCAGTCGCAGAGCAACCAGACGTGAATACAGGACAGCTGCAACCCAGTTTACCAGCCATGGACTGACCTCTTTCTCCTTTAGTGCAGTCATTAAGATGTCCTATCTCACTCTGTTATAAGCATCCTTAAGATCCAGTGCTTCCGTCATAGTTTCCTGTCTGTTCTGGAAACCTTCATAGACGTGAAAAGCAAAAGTGGTCGCATTTGCCCATGTGTCCTTACCTGGCCGGTAGCTTCCCAGACCTCTTGGGAGAAGCTTACCCCTTTCCAAATATATGTATGTTGGGAAATGAACAGGCGGACAGACTAGCTGGCTTTGCACAACTTGGTGGAATACTGATGCATGATAAGGCAGACGTGGTTACAGTCTTTTGGGAGAGCGTGTACAGGTCGGAGGAGCAGATGGATCACCACAGTCTTGTGAGATTGATGCAGGGGGAGAGTGACAAGAGGTTCCGGCAGATATTCGAGGCTCATAGGAAAGGCAAGACGGACGTTTAATCAAAAGGCTACTGACACCATTAGGATCGGAACTCTTCGCTGGCTGCTGAAGATGGGGACAGAATGAATAAAATCAAATCAATCAACATAAAGGCACTTTAAAGGTGATCATACAGACATCAGGGACTGACACAAACAGAACACCAGGTGCATCTTGTAGTTAAACATAAATACATCTGGGCACTGACACCTGTATGCAAGTGTATGCACTTTATAATTGAACCTACATACATCTGGGCACTGACACCTGTATGCAAGTATGTGCACTTTATAGTTGAACCTACATACACCTGGGCACTGATACCTGTATGCAAGTGTATGCACTTTATAATTGAACCTACATACATCTGGGCACTGACACCTGTATGCAAGTGTATGCACTTTATAATTGAACATACATAAATCTGGGCACTGACACCTGTATGCAAGTGTATGCACTTTATAATTGAACCTACATACACCTGGGCACTGACACCTGTATGCAAGTGTATGCACTTTATAATTGAACCTACATACATCTGGGCACTGACACCTGTATGCAAGTATGTGCACTTTATAGTTGAACCTACATACACCTGGGCACTGACACCTGTATGCAAGTGTATGCACTTTATAATTGAACCTACATACATCTGGGCACTGACACCTGTATGCAAGTGTATGCACTTTATAATTGAACATACATAAATCTGGGCACTGACACCTGTATGCAAGTGTATGCACTTTATAATTGAACCTACATACACCTGGGCACTGACACCTGTATGCAAGTGTATGCACTTTATAATTGAACATACATAAATCTGGGCACTGACACCTGTATGCAAGTGTATGCACTTTATAATTGAACCTACATAAATCTGGGCACTGACACCTGTATGCAAGAGTCTGCACTTTATAATTGAACCTACATAAATCTGGGCACTGACACCTGTATGCAAGTGTATGCACTTTATAATTGAACCTACATAAATCTGGGCACTGACACCTGTATGCAAGTATATGCACTTTATAAATGAACCTACATACATCTGGGCACTGACACCTGTATGCAAGTATATGCACTTTATAATTGAACCTACATACATCTGGCCACTGACACCTGTATGCAAGTATATGCACTTTATAATTGAACCTACATAAATCTGGGCACTGACACCTGTATGCAAGTATATGCACTTTATAATTGAACCTACATCCATCTGGGCACTGACACCTGTATGCAAGTATATGCACTTTATAATTGAACCTACATACATCTGGGCACTGACACCTGTATGCAAGTATATGCACTTTATAATTGAACCTACATACACCTAGGCACTGACACCTGTATGCAAGTGTATGCACTTTATAGTTGAAACTACATACACCTGGGCACTGACACCTGTATGCAAGTGTATGCACTTTATAATTGAACCTACATACATCTGGGCACTGACACTTGTATGCAAGTGTATGCACTTTATAATTGAACCTACATACATCTGGGCACTGACACCTGTATGCAAGTGTATGCACTTTATAATTGAACACATACATATGGGCACTGACACCTGTATGCAAGTGTATGCACTTTATAATTGAACCTACATACATCTGGGCACTGACACCTGTATGCAAGTGTATGCACTTTATAATTGAACCTACATACATCTGGGCACTGACACCTGTATGCAAGTGTATGCACTTTATAATTGAACCTACATACATCTGGGCACTGACACCTGTATGCAAGTGTATGCACTTTATAATTGAACCTACATACATCTGGGCACTGACACCTGTATGCAAGTGTATGCACTTTATAATTGAACCTACATACATCTGGGCACTGACACCTGTATGCAAGTGTATGCACTTTATAATTGAACCTACATACATCTGGGCACTGACACCTGTATGCAAGTGTATGCACTTTATAATTGAACCTACATACATCTGGGCACTGTAATAATTGCTGCGATGGGTTAAAGGATGTGTAGGATTTATTTATTGTGTGTGTGGTGTGTGTGGTGTGTGTGTGTGTGTGTGCGCGCGCGCGCGCTCACTGTTGATATCAAAATGTTGACACACACAATTTGACCGATTCATCAGTTTTGGATCAATAGCTTGAGTCTGGTGGTTAATTTCACCAGCTCGGTAATTTTCTACAATTTCTATGAATGTCTTGGACGTTGTGGTCAGCATCAACTGTCCTCTCTCAACTACACCTGTCTGTCCAATAGAAACTCACTGACTTGCACAGCTATCTCCCTGGCCCCTCTTCTCGCCCATTCTCCGGTAAAATCTCTAAACTGTACTCACTAGACTGCCCAGTCTTTGCTCTGACAACTGATTCCTCATGTGAAGCAAATGAGCTCAGATACTTCTGGGCCCAACTCTAATCGGATCATATCCTTTAAGAGGCTTCAGAAGTGCTGTCCATCAACTGGTGATAGGCATTCCCTATTCAGTCCAGCTCCACAATTAGTAAACGCAACTGGATCTCCAGGAAAGAACCACACAAGAGTTACATGTGAGAATGAGACCAGCTTTTGGGAAGCAGCCTCTCACTGATTCAAAAAGCTTCAAAATTTTGGCACATTAGAAGCAAGCTACGTCAATTCATGATCCAGAACGTTTTGCGTCTGCTACCCGAATGGTTAACTCCAGATTAGGGAAGTATTAACTTGTAAATCTTAAGTATTAACATCATTTATAAAAGACTAGCTGTACCCGGCCACGCTGTGGCATAGTTTGGCTAAATGGAAATTAAAAAAAATAGAAATCGCACGTGTCTAATACAATCATTGTCTGCTCAGATATAGAGATAGTCTTTGATCCCCCCCCCCCTCCACCCCCCCCCCCCCCCCCCCCACAACTAAATCCACCTACTACCCTCTCCCTCATCAAAAGTTTTTGGAAAAGAAAGACGATGGAAATCGCACCTGTCTAATATAGTTAATGTCACAATCATTCTCTGCACATTTATATAGAGATAGTCTGGTTTTCCAACTTTAGAACACGCACCATATAATTGTGTCTTTATATTAGTGGTCGTTTAAATGGTGCTATTAGCACAGTAACAAAAGTGGTTATTTGGTTATCACATGCTAAAGCTGTTTGTATTTTTATAGGAGACGTAAGTAAAGCTACTACTGTACTTGTAAATAACAAAGTAAGTCGTACAAAAATTAGAATAGCAAAGGTAGCGTTAGTAAAATATAAACAATTAAAGTAAGTAATGAGAACTTAAAAATCATGTGTAAAGCTCTTCAAGTTCTCTTAAATTTCAGTCATTACCCTCTCCCCTCCCCTCTTCCACCGACTACTGCTCTCTTCCTCTTCGAAGGATTGAAAAATCATCACCTGGCGATATTCTTTTTGTTGTAACTGACATTGACATCCCTGTCCATCCGGACTAAATTGGGAGCAGGAATTGTAATAGGTAGTGAATGGGGCTAATGTAATATTTACCGCATCATCCTTCAAGTACCAGTACAACTACTACCACGACCACCACCACAGTAGCTAAAATAATGTCACTGCTATCTGTTTTACCATCGGAGTAGACAGGGAGTCGTGAGCCAGAAGATTTGGCGCCGCATGGCTAGTGCTGTCGCCACGGACTGGTCAGGTTAGGATGTATAATTTCGCTCCCCGACAGAAGAATGCCATAACCTTACCGGCGGTCTTCACATGAGAGCACTACGGTGTAACCGCCCAACCACAACTACTACTGCTGCTGCTACTTTGAGTGGGTAAAGCAGTTACTGTGACTTAAAGCTCTCTCAGTAATCAGTTTGCCCCCCCCCCCCCCCCCCCCCCCCAATTCACCGACTACTCTTTCCCTCATCGAAGTAGTTGAGAGGGGAAAAAAACCAATTGAAAAGCAATTAAAACAGGAAAAATACACCAGAATTAGGAAATGAACGCTATGGTAAACAGCACAGCTTTAAATTCCAACACAGATGAAAAAATTTAATCTAAATGAAAATAAATGGAAAGCTATGAAATTTCAGCGAAAAGTTAAAATGAAATCATAAGTATGTGAAATGGTCAAATTTAATTATCAACTGGTTTACCCACAAACCTGTCCTTGTTTCTTTTTTTTTTTTTTTTTTTTTTTCATATATATATCATATGGCTAGTGCTGTCGCCACGACAGTGAAGGTGAGGATTTTATTTTGGCCCTAAGTAAAAAAAAAAAAAAAAAACTCCTGCCGATTCGAACCCTGGTCTCCCTCTCAATAGCCGAGTGTTCTAACCATTCGACCAAGCAACCACTCTATCGGAGTAACGAAAGGAGAACATAACTATTTTAGATGTGTGTCCCTACTGCAGTGTCCCGATTATAAAACAACTCAAAACAGCAGGCAATTGTTTTCTCATAGACAGATATACCAAATATAATAATGAAACGGCACAACAAAAGAAATCGAACGTGTCTAACACGGTTAATGTCGCAGTCAATATCTGCGCAGACGTCGAGATAGTCCCTGATGCCCCCTCCCCTCTTTTTCCCTACCAATCCATCGGCTACTTTTCAACTCATCGAAGGATGTTTAAAAAAAAAAAAATAGAAATCGTGTCTAATATAGTTATTGTGGCAATCACTGCCTGCACAGATATAGATATAGTCTTGTTTGCTGTACCACGACCTACTCTATGTATTAGAGGAAGTGTTGGCTGCACGGCGCATGCGCAATTACTAACGTGGCTATAATTAGAAATCACTAAAATTATAATTAGTTTCGAATATTATGGCTTAAATTGTAGTCACCTATCTCTAACAGTGACAGGTTGAATTTCAAACCATGATGGTTCAACATCCGGTATCAAAACAAACATATCCTGAAAATGTCAGCTAAATCGGTTCAGTAGTGTTCCGAGTCTATAGGGGGCAAACAAACACACAAACATTGATTTTTTTATATATAGATGTGATAAGCCATATAGTAGGGAAACCTGTAGGATGCCAACCGATCATTTCGGTGACTTTATGGATGTTAAGTAGGAAGTCTGTAAACTAGTTTCTTTGCTTTTTAATAGTTCTTGCTAACAAGGCTCAACTAACATCTATATTACTGGCATAAAATCCTGTTCTGGGAACCGAAAGCACACATCTCTCTGAAAAATTGTCTCATTCACCATTTAGATGTTGACAGCCCAAAAGGGATCAATGTTTTCCACACCTTCACCGTATATTTGTATCACTTTCTTTATTTTTAATTTGTATGTTTATTTGTTTTCTTTTCTCTTATTTATCCCACCCCCCCCCCCTCCCCTTCTCCCCTTTTCCCCCATCATTTATGTTTCGTTTTTAAAACAGCTTTTTCAGTTCTCATTGTTTTTTATTCTATTCCTTTTTATTTCCCCCATTCTATTCCTTTCATTAACCACTGGACGTCAATTTGCCTAGAGAAACCACACAACAGCCAGGAGCTGCTGGGATTGGTTCTGCAACGTCCTGGAAAGGATACGCAACTAACATAACAATTCCTTTCATTACCGGACTCTCACATTTGTTGTGCTGGTTTGAGATTATTGTTGTTTCATTCAATGATAAAGGCTTTGGTCGAAACATTGAGCTCTATGTTATATTGATACATTCATTCATCATTACCATTTGTATCCATTCATATCATAGTTGCAAAGTGATCCACTGAATCAAACTGATCTATAAATGATACCACACTGAACGTGAACCCACAGTGACCCCACACTGTCAGTGACCCCCTAATGTCACTGACCCCACACTGACAGTGACCCCACACAATGATCCCCCCCCCCCCCCCCCCCCCGATCACTAATCACCCACTCACCCAGGCACCAGTCTGGACTAGGTCCGATCATGGTGATCAGAGATAACAGATGCTTGTCCTTGTTGGCTGTAAACACGGCCCTGACGGTGTCTAGGATGGCTTCTGGGCCCCACAACTGTTTGGTTTTGATGACTGTTCGAATCCTGTCACTCTGTTTAGAAAAAAAATATTTAGCATTCTGTAGAAATGAACCTCTAATGTAGATGTGGAGGGTCATGGGAAACTAGTGCACACATTTCTTGCCCTCATTGTGGTTTTTTTTTATTTTTTTAATTACAGATTTTGGAGGCGACCATGGAGCTGGCATAATAATCGATATCAGCCTCTATTTTGAATTTAAACATGCAGAGAAATCTAAGGGGAGATTAGGTAGAGATATGTGCTCACAAATGGCTACAGTTGATGGCTACAGTCGATGGTCACAGTTGATGACCACAGTTGATGGCTACAGTCGATGGTCACAGTTGAAGGTCACAGTTGATGGTCACAGTTGATGACCACAGTTGATGACCACAGTTGATGACCACAGTTGATGGCCACAGTTGATGGCTACAGTTGATGACCACAGTTGATGGCTACAGTCGATGGTCACAGTTGAAGGTCACAGTTGATGGTCACAGTTATGACCACAGTTGATGACCACAGTTGATGACCACAGTTGATGACCACAGTTGATGGTCACAGTTGATGGCTACAGTCGATGGTCACAGTTGAAGGTCACAGTTGATGGTCACAGTTGATGGCCACAGTTAATGGTCACAGTTGATGACCACAGTTGATGACCACAGTTGATGACCACAGTTGATGGCCACAGTTGATGGCTACAGTTGATGGTCACAGTTGATGGCCTACAGTCGATGGTCACAGTTGATGACCACAGTTGATGGCTACAGTCGATGGTCACATTTGATGGTCACAGTTGATGGCTACAGTCGATGGTCACAGTTGATGGCCACAGTTGATGGCTTTAGTCAATGGTCACAGTTGATGGCTACAGTTGATGGTCACAGTTGATGGTCACAGTTGATGACCACAGTTGATGGCTACAGTTGATGGTCACAGTTGATGACCACAGTTGATGACCACATTTGATGGCTACAGTCGATGGTCACAGTTGATGACCACAGTTGATGGCTACAGTTGATGGTCACAGTTGATGGTCACAGTTGATGACCACAGTTGATGGCTTTAGTCGATGGTCACAGTTGATGGCTACAGTTGATGGTCACAGTTGATGGTCACAGTTGATGACCACAGTTGATGGCTACAGTTGATGGTCACAGTTGATGACCACAGTTGATGGCTTTAGTCGATGTTCACAGTTGATGGCTACAGTCGATGGTCACAGTTGATGACCACAGTTGATGGCTTTAGTCGATGGTCACAGTTGATGGTCCCAGTTGATGACCACAGTTGATGGCTACAGTCGATGGTCACAGTTGATGGCTACAGTTGATGGTCACAGTTGATGACCACAGTTGATGGCTACAGTTGATGGCCACAGTTGAAGGTCACAGTTGATGGTCACAGTTGATGGTCACAGTTGATGGTCACAGTTGATGACCACAATTGATGACCACAGTTGATGACCACAGTTGATGACCACAGTTGATGGCCACAGTTGATGGTCACAGTTGATGGCCACAGCTGATGGCCACAGTTGATGATCACAGTTGATGACCACAGTTGATGATCACAGTTGATGGCCACAGTTGATGGCCACAGTTGATTACCACAGTTGATGACTACAGTTGATGGCCACAGTTGATGACCACAGTTGATGACCACAGTTGATGGTCACAGTTGATGGCTACAGTCGATGGTCACAGTTGTAAAGTCACAGTTGATGGTCACAGTACCGAGGTCGTGCTCTCGGCAGACAGCTACAGTTGATGACCACGTTGAGACCACAGTTGAGCTACAGTCGATAGCCACAGTGATGGTCACAGTTGATGGCCACGGTTGATGGCCACAGTTGATGAACACCTTGATGACCACAGTTGGGTACATTTGAGACCCACAATGATGACCACAGTTGATGGCTACAGTCGATGGTCACAGTTGATGGCTACAGTTGATGGCTAAAGTTGATGTCTACAGTTGATGGTCACAGTTGATGGCCACAGTTGATGGTCACAGTTGATGGTTACAGTTGATGGTCACAGTTGATGGTCACAGTTGATGGCTACAGTTGATGTCTACAGTTGATGGTCACAATTGATGGCTACAGTTGATGTCTACAGTTGATGGTCACAGTTGATGGCTACAGTCGATGGTCACAGTTGATGGCCACAGTTGATGGTCACAGTTGATGGTCACAGGTATTGGCCACAGTTGATGGTCACAATTAATTGCCCCAATTTGCGTAGTGGTCAAGCTGTTTGCCTTGTGCTCTGACCGTTGTGGTTCGTTTCACAGAGCGCCGCTTAGTTCACAGGCGCAGTTTTTACGAAGATCACTGGGATTGTAGCCCGAACTACCGAGGTCGTGCTCTCGGCAGACAGCTAGTTGATCTACAGAGAGAGATTAAGCTATATGGTGGTTGGCCAAGGTTGATGGCATGGAGAGAACACCTTTAAGGGGTAATAGGGGGGGGGGGAGAAGAGGTGTCATTGCTGCGTACTATCCCCCACCCTACTTCCACTCATAGCCCACCTAATCAATCCCACCCCCCAAAAAAATGAGCACTTATCTGTCAGGGTGGCACTAGAATGTTTCTATATTCAGTAGACGTGCAAGGACCCGCTCACGGTAGCTCTGTGTCTTCCTGGTGTCTACAGAGCCATCAGAACCATTCAAAGATAGCTCGGTGTATTCACGTGGTCTACAGAGCCATCAGAACCATTCAACGATAGCTCGGTGTATTCACGTGGTCTACAGAGCCATCAGAACCATTCAACGATAGCTCGGTGTATTCACGTGGTCTACAGAGCCATAAGAACCATTTAACGATAGCTCAGTGTCTTCCTGGTGTCTACAGATCCATCAGAACTATTCAATGATAGCTCGGAGTCTGTACAGGGCCTACAGAGCCAGCAGAAGGTCACAGAAACATTCCCGCCAGGTTATGGGCTGTCAAATATTATGTCAGCGGAGACGGCTCCTGATCTCTGTAAACATTTACCTAGTCTGACAACTCCTACAGACTGCTGGAAGCGAACTCCCCCCCCCCCCCCACCCCCACCCCCCCCCCCTGTTTAGGCATAGACAGGTAAAGCAGCAGCAAGAATACAAGCAAACAGACAGGTAGACTTCACTGGTGGCTTGCCATTATTCAATCAGCTCTCAGTCCTTTCTACAGACAACCATCAACAAATAACAACAAGCGGTTCTCCAGTGCCTGGTCCGACAAGTTGCTGCCGATTTATGTAGAGGGATGTTTGGCATTTCTGGATGTCATTCCCATTTGCTGGCTGTGGCCAGGCAACCTTCCCTTGGGTCGCAGGTCATGTTTACAAGTCGACGGCTGCCGCCGAAGAACATGTTTTCTGTCAAAACCTTCCGCTGGCGTCTGCTCCAGGGAACAATACCTCAGCTGAACGCAGCGCACATCTTTCCTCTACTTGCAAACTTGTTTGGGAGCCGCTTGTTTTCCCAACTTTATGTCTGAAGATGGGTTCACTGATGCTTAATGAATGTCTTGAAAACAGGTTTAGTTGTAGGCAAGTTGGTTGCAGAGACAAATTCATTATTTCAGGGGTAGAGAGAGAGAGAGAGAGAGAGAGAGAGAGAGAGAGAGAGAGAGAGAGAGAGAGAGAGAGAGAGAGAGAGAGAGAGAGAGAGAGAACGAAAGAACGAACAAACGAACGAAATTTATTTTCAAAGGGTCACAAATTAGGCACACAGGCATGTCTTCCAAACTCCCATCTTTCACACAGCAGTTGTATTTCACTAATAAAGCAAGTTATGTTCATGTAATAATATGCATATTTTAAACATCAAGTCAAAAACAAAAGCATTGGTGGTAAAATTTGTGCGCACGCTCGCGCGCGAACACTCACAATTCCCACAGACGCACAAATACTCACACACATACACACACGCAGACGCACACATACACACACAGACCCACGCACACATTATCAAAAAGACACGCACACACACACACACAAATACACATAAAGTCACACACACGGAAACACCTACAGACACATACATAGATACACACTGCCACACACACACAGATATAAACACGCAGCAACACTCACACATATACACATACAAACACACACATAGACACACACCCACAGAAACACACGCAGCCACACATACAGATACACACACACAAAACACCCACAGACATACAAACACAGACTGACACGCACACTGACACGCACATAGACCATTTAAAACATAGGCACACCTACAGACACGCACGCGGACACCATTCAGACAGACATACGCCCACACACAGACATACACTTACACACACACACAGACACACAAAGACATACACACAAACTTTTACAGTTACCCATACATAAATTCATACGTGCATAGAATCATGGGGACTCTGTATTTTTCAGATCGAGTGGAAGAAGTTTCCATAAATTAGCATCAGAATATGCTTAACTTGTTTTAAATAAATCGATTCTGGGTTTAGGCAAATGTAATTAAACTTAGTCACTTGCCATTCTTAAGATTAGACTGAAACAATCGGTCGATGTAATATAGATTATCTTTAGATAGGATATTGTGAATGAATTAGGCCTTATTAAAAATTAAACGTTTACTAAATGGTAGAAGTCTTAGATGTCCGTATAAAATATTTTTCTCAACGTAGTTTCTATCGGAAACTAGGCGTAAGGCCCTATTTTGTAGAGAAAGCAATAACACCCACTGACAAAGCAATAACAACCACTGACAAAGCAATAACAACCACTGACAGAGCAATAACACCCACTGACAGAGCAATAACACCCACTGACAGCAATAACACCCACTTACAGAGCAATAACACCCACTGACAGAGCAATAACACCCACTGACAGAGCAATAACACCTACTGACAGAGCAATAACACCCACTGACAGCAATAACACCCACTTACAGAGCAATAACACCCACTGACAGAGCAATAACACCCACCGACACAGCAATAAACCCACCGACACAGCAATAACACCCACTGACAGAGCGATAACACCCACT